AACCTACGGATGTGCCAACCGTACTACACGGCCAAGGGTATGTCTTCTCCGACTCCATCGATGCGCACTCGCAAAGGTTCTGCCAGCTCTACTGGTTCAGGTTCTTCACGCTCTGGCGCTATTAGCCCACTTGTATTGCCGAAATCATCACTTCCAGATCTAAGTATTCAGGGTGATCAACAACCGCCATCTGATGTGGCAAACACTCAATACATCGTTGAGATCCTAGCAATGATTTGCAAACGTTCTGAGAACCTTGATTCTTTCTCCAACAAGCTTTGTTCTGTTCAGTCCGAGCTCTTCCCCGGCAAGTCCGAGCTCTCTTCTGTCAGGTCTAAGTTATCTGCCTTGGACCACCTGCCTGCGCTGGTCAAGCGTGTGGATGATGTTGAGGGCATCGTAGCTAAACACCGTGAAGAGATCCGTGATTTAAAGAAGTCTGTTGCTGATCTCACGGCCAAATTGGATACTTTACCTGCCACCTCTGTTTCGTCCTCGTCCCCTGATGCTGCGACGTTGCAGCGCGTTGTTGCTGCTGTCAACTCTAGTTCCGTCAGTTTTCAGCGCTTTGCAGGACAGCACCAGATTGGCACTGAGCTTATCATCTCTGGTTTTCCGGAACGAGAAGGTCTCACTGAACCTGTTCCCTTGGCCTTGGCAGTTCTGCTCTCACTGAAACCTGATCTTGATCCCTCCACTGTCTCCAATGCTCGATTTATGAGGAAACCGGTGTGTCTGTCTGCTTCCGCTACTGCCTCAAGTGATGCTTCTCAACAACCAGCTAATCCTCGCCGCTCGCGCGTGTCTATCGGTCTCAAATTCACCACCGCCGAGTTGCTTTACGCCATCATTGATGCCAAAAAAGCCAACGCTAAGCTGCTGTTCTCAGCTGTTGACAGTACCACCCTGCCCTGTACAATCTTCTTTCTCTCCAGCAGACCCGAATGGTTCTCACTTTCAAGTGAATATTAACGAGCTCATCTCTACTAAGACCTATAGACTCCGGGGCAAGGCTAGATCCGTCTTAAGACAATCTGATTTCCGATTCATCTGCACGAGAAATGAGATGGTCTTCGCCAATTACAAGGAGGGAGACGGTCTACACGATAAACTCCCTAGCTGACATCGACAAAGTTGCGAGCCTCCACTCAGCTGCATCTTCCTGATTTTTAGCCCTTGGGACTCACTCCTCACACAACTAACATCTCAACAGGCTTTTTCTTCTTCCACACCTCAATCTTCAGCTGTCAAGTCATTCAGGGGCCCCACTTCAAATACTGTCTCTAATAATCAGCTTCATGCTTGCTGTCTGAATGTAAATTCTCTTCGCCGTCGTCTTGACACTATTAAAAGTTTTTTCAGCTCACAGGCTATGGTTTATCATGTTACTGTGGTCACAGAGACGTGGTTATCAGCTGCCATCCCCAACTCCATCCTTAACATTCCCTACTATCACTTACTCAGACGTGATCGCAATGAGCATGGCGATGGTGTTGGCATTTATTACCATGATTCTGTCAAAGCCATGGTCATTACTGCCTCTAACTCTGTCTGGGCGGATAAGCCAGGGCATGTGGAGTATCTCTTTTGTGAGATCCAGCCTGTGGGCCCCTCACCGGTCTTCGTTGGAGCCATCTATCGCCCGCCTCATGCTCCCTTTCACGTGCCCGTCAACTTTACCGAGCTCCTGGCGACAGTTCTAGATGGCTTCAGCCAGAATCTGCTCATGGGGGACTTCAACGCTGACCAGCTGTCTCATAATAATGCTGATGCGCAATACATCTGTTCGCTGATGCATGATCTCTCGCTGAAGTTGGTCAACCATGGTGTCACTCACTTAACTCTAAGTTCCTCCATGTGGCTGGATCCCTGTCTCACTGATGACTGCGACACTGTCACGGGTTGGTTCACATCTGAATGTCCCATGGCTGCTGGTCATCACCTCATCTCTACCTCGATCGCCATCGAAGGGTGCAAGCCGCATGCAACGGTGATTGCATCTCGTCAATTGTCACGTCTTCTGAGGGGTGAAGTTATTGTCGACTTCCAGAAGACTCTCCAATGCTTTCCCCCTGTCTCATCAAATCCTGACGAGCTAGCAGAGATCTTCACTCACACTTTCCTAGAGTTAGTTGAGACTCATGCTTCGCTGCGTGAGATGCTAGTAAATTCGGCAAAGATGGCCCCCTGGCTCAACGATCATCTTCGACAGTCGTACCGCACGTGCAATATCTCTACAGACGGTTCAAGAAGAGGAGAAATCCCCTGCGACTGCTTGAGTTTCGCCAGGCTAGAAGTTTCCACTACTCCAAGCTAGCTGAGGCTCGCGCTAGCTACTATCATTCTCGACTATCTGGATTATATGGAGCGGCACTGTGGAGGAGCTTCGAAATCTTGCTCTAACACCTGGCTTGAGCATTAGGCCTGTCATCTCTGCAGATGTCCTGAATTCTCACTTTGCTGCTGTATCTACCGTGCCGTCTAGCATTCAGCCTACTTCTACCTTGGCTTGCTCAATGCATGAGCTGCCAGTGGCCCCTGTGAGTGGCCCTTCCTCTGCTTCCACGTCGTTCACCTTCAGCCAAGTGAGCTGGCTCAACATCCAGGCTGCGATATCCTCCATCAAATCCAATGCTGTTGGTGCTGATGGAATTTCAAGGAAAATGGTGCTCCACACCCTACCAGTTTTATCAGAGTGCCTGCTCACCATCATGAATCGATCGTTTCTGGACAGTGTCTTCCCCTCAATTTGGAAAAGGGCTATTATTGTTCCTGTTGGTAAAGTCAGCTCTCCGAAGTCGCCTTCTGACTCTCATCCTATTGCACTGCTGCCTTTTCTAGCGAAAGTCTTGGAGAGATTGGCTTACATCCAATTGTCCTCATTTTTACAGGAGCATAACCTGCTTGACCCTCGGCAATGTGGCTTTAGACCTGGCCAAGGCACTCAGACGGCCTTGCTGAGACTTGTCAATGACATGAGAAGGAATGTTGATGACCATAAAATCACTATCTTGGTTCTCTTCGACTTCTCCAAAGCATTTGATACAGTCTCTCACTCCCTCCTGCTGAGCAAGTTGACGGATCTTGGGCTGTCTGCTGGTGCTGTCGCGTGGTTTCGTTCCTATCTCACTGGACGATCCTAAGCGGTTAAAGGTGATCATGAGCTCTCCTCTTTTCTTGAGACCAATGCTGGAGTTCCCCAGGGATCCATCTTTGGTCCTCTACTGTTCTCACACTTCATCAATGACATCGGCCGCTGCATACATGAAGCTCGACATCTTCTTTATGCCGATGATCTCCAAATCTACATTGGCTGTGACCCATTCGATCTCCAATGCAGCATTCAGCGTCTCAATACCGATATCTCCAGGATCCAGGATTGGGCTATTACAAATCGTCTGCAACTCAATGTCAGCAAGACTAAGGCAATCATATTGGGTGCTCGACGCTACATCAATTCCATTGATGTCTCTTCTTTGCCTCCCCTGGGCTGTGCCGGTGCTGCCATTGAGTTTGTTAGCAGTGTGAGGAATCTGGGGGTCTTCTTCGACAGTAAACTCACCTTCAGCAGCCATATCTAGTAGGTCACTGCCAAGATCAATTCAGCATTCTATCAACTCTATAGCCTGTGGAAATATATTGATGTGCCGCTGCGCAAATTGCTGGTCAATGCTCTCATATTTCCTCATATTTTCTACTGTTTGGTTGTGTTGCAAGGAGTGGGTGTGGTGCTGGATCTTCAGCTTCAGCGTCTGATCAATCGTACCGTACGTTTCGTCACGGGGCTGCCTCGTGATGCGCCAATTTCTGTTGCCAGGCAGAATCTTGGCTGACTGACGATCTCAGGCTACAAGGCATCCACGATTGCGTCCATCATGTACCAAGTACTGCGCACTGAGAACCCTGCATACCTCGCTGAACTCTTTGCAATATACTCTTCTGCTAGGCCTGGCCGCCATGCCCTTGCTCAGCAGGCCCTGGTTGTGGCCAACTTCCGGACTGACACTTTCAGAGCTGCCGTCGCTGTCGCTGGTCCTGAGGTCTGGAACAGCATCCCTACCCAGATCAGGGAGATGCCCTCATTCGCTCCCTTTAAGCGAGAACTGCGGAGATGGATGCGTGATCTTGATGTATCATCGTAATTCAGTTGGCCATCTGCTCGCGTCTTGCAATCTGTGCAACTCACTTGCTTATTCTCTAGCCTCTTGTCTTTATTTTTTGCTTCATCTCTTGCTTTGTTTTATTTTGCTGCTTCTTATATACGTATGTTATTTTCCATGTAATCACTTTGTTTAATTTTCTGAACATCTAATCTAATCGAATTCAATCCTCCGCGCGTGAGGTTGGAGCGCACTGCTACCAACTTCGTAAACTAAATCTCACACTTGGTGCTCAGAGATAATGTGAAATGCGAGAATGTGGATATGATCCCATTGCTATGCGCGTAATTTCCTTAATATTAAGTCGAAAAAGAAAATAGTGACATCAATGGAAAGCTCGTGGCCGATGTGGTGGAACTGATGCTACTTTTTTCGTAGGTTATCACGTTTTCATTTTATTCAATAATTGAGTTTCGGAGGTAGTGGAGGCGGTTGCTTCGTGTATAGATACCCGGTAGCAAGCGGCGAGTTTTAAAACTTTTCTTGACCGATACGCTACTACGTATCTCGATACTCGAAAGATTTCAAATAAATCAATAAACTTGTTCTATTATCTGAAAATCAAATTTCTTGATTGAAATACGAAGACTTGTCAAGTTTGGTCACCACCGTGGCAGTAAAAAATGAGCAACACTCTATCATTCTAAATCTTTTGAAGTTGTAGTAGAGCGATGCTGGGACTATACTTCTGGACCATAATGACATATAGAAACAAAAAAAAAATGGTCTGCAGACATGTTCAGATATTAAAAAATGTGCGAGGTGAAAAATCATAATTAGTAGAGTCTCCCATATAGCGTAATCAGAGAAGTAACATGAATTGTTACGTCTTTCACTTACCAATCTCCTCAAGAGTAGGCACTCCATAAATGTCATCGTGATCTTCTTGTAGTGGAGTGTAAGCAGTACCAATGGTTTCAGCGGTTACAATTGCTACTGGTGGATCCGGAGGATCCATTCCCTGTACAATGGTTTGAAACTGATGGTAAGTTAAGGGAGCCTTTCCTTTATTCTTTTCGAGTATTCTGAAACCAGCAAAAAGTTGCGAAATTAGAATTGGTGATTACATTGAGAAAAATCGGATGTTCCTTCATGGCACGGTGCTCACAATTCAAAGCATTGCGGCCATAACTGCGTTCAAAGATACGCAATATTCATTCAAGTGGTAACGGTATATCTTACATCTGTTGAATTTTAGAATTATCCTCGTGCACATAGTCCCAAAAGAGACGCTCTTAGTGCAAATTCGAGGAAATGGTCATTCAAAGGCCTACGAAACTTTGACTCGTAGACAACAACCGAAATTTGATGGAAGCGACGCATCTTAACCCAAATTTTTTAAATAATTGGAACTGAGAAGAAAAACATGTTGGGCAGAGCGGGATAGATACAACTGTCTTTCCAAGTCAAATGGGGAAAAAATATCTACAAAAATTCATGTGTCCGTGCCATGGACCTGCAGTACCAGAAAGAATCATCGTGCTGCATCAGGAAAGATTTTCCTGGGCGGTTGCGTTGGAGTTTTGCGCAAGGACGGAGTTGACTTACGAGCCGAAGGCAACAAAATCGCAAAAGTACGGGACAAGATATTTTGTAAGGATTTTCAAATTTGTTGCGGACACTAGGTGACTCGAAATAGTAGACAAAAGCTGACCCCTTGAGTCGACCGAACTGTAACTAATCAAAACAGGTAGTGACCGATGTATAGGAATTTTCTACAGTTGGAATCTGATTGTGTGTGATCAAACACTTAAGTGTACAAAGGTTTATCGTATATAGGAGTCAGAAAGAGATCAGACTAAGAGAAAGATACCCTATAGTTTCCTTTTAGTAAAAATGAAAATTTATTATAATGCACACTTTGAAGATACAGGAAAAATCTAAGATGAAACCGAGGTATATGTTAGAGGTGAGAAATGATAGTGTGATACGTGTTGTATTTTGACTTACAGGTGTTGAAAATCGAAAGGGAGGGTGCGATCACTCACGTATGAAGTCTCCGGATACCGTTGACTGCCTCGAAAATTGGGGACTCTCAATAGTCCGCGAGCTCAGGCCTATTAAGAGGGCTAATAATGTAGATAAAAGTGATGACTTTGATGACATTGATGGTTCAGATGATGTTGATGATGTTGGTGATTTTATTGAATCAGCGGTTCTGCGAACTAAACTCGTAGACTCCGTACACAGGAGCTCCGTTGAGGAATTTTTATAGATTTACGATCTCCGTTGGATACAACGTGTAGATTAACAGGCGAAATACTCGTTGAGGAGATCCACTTGTTCAGTGAGATCTCGAAGTTCAGCCAAGAAGAGTAGCCACAAATGATTTTGATAATGATACTAGGGACTTCGCAGAAGGATGACAAGACGCTCGGAGAATTTAATGTGGATTTGAAGAAATTAATTCTTTCACCTGGCCAGTGAGAGACAGAGAGTAATCCACAGGATTCTGATGCTCAACGTAAGAGGTTACTGCCAAATCTCGATTCAGGAAGTTCACTTGAACGGTGAGACCTTATTGATGAATCCAGATGAATCGTTACGAAGAGTTCGAGCAACTTGATGTGTAGATGAATGCAGATGAGGTAAGACTGACTCTCAGGGGGAAAATTCATCCCTCTATATACTGATTGAGCCCCATAAGCCAACAGGCTGTGGTCCCCCTTCGATTAATTTGAAAATTCGTTGGTAGTCGGGGACGCGAAAAAGTTATATAAATATCATTCTTATACATGGTAATCATAGGAAAATGAGAAGTCAGGTGGTATCCAGTGTTGTATTTGACCGTTTCCTACACTCCCTGAGTAAAGTAGGGGTCGCATGACAGGTGATGGTGGAACATGGCTGAATAAAACCCAATTTTGAAGTACCACCCTCAAGTCCTGTTCTCAATATAACAATTTTGGGTATCCTGTAGTATAGGGAGCTCATAAACTTGTCACTTCTACTGACATTATTGGCTTCCGGATGGATATTATTGGCTTCCGTAGGGTCAGGGAGGGGGGAGGGTCAACCACTCATGTTTTAATTGATCAGCTGATCAATTGAAAAACCGGGAGGACGGTTTTCCAAATAGGGTTCACTTGATATCCTCTGTTCCTGTTGAGGTTGTTAGGGTTTTTATAGATCTCCAAGCCTTCTCGGTATTTCCTTTTGAAATATCCTTGAGACTTGGCCAATATTCTGGTTTCATCGTACTCGATCCTATGTCCAGTGTGCATCCCATGTTCAGCAAGTGCAGACTGTTGTAAGTGACCGTATTTGGAACACCGTTGATGTTCCTTGATCCGTGTACTGATCTTCCTCCCGATTTCACCAATGTACACTTTTCCGCATGAGCAAGGGATCTCGTACACTCCTGGTATACTCAGAAGTGGTCTGTGATCTTTCGCACTCGGCAGCATCTGTCCAATCTTCTTTGGGGGTTGGAAGATTGTTTGGATGTTGTGTTTGCCGAGTACTCTGCTGATGTGTTCAGTGGTGCCTCTCATGTAGGGGAGGAGGGCGACTTTAGGTTTCTCCCGATTTTCTTCAGGATTAATCTCCTCTTGAGGAGATGAGAGCTTGCTCTGTAGTTTTCGCTTGACCTTTCGAATTTGTTGAATGTTATATCCACTCTTGGTCAGAGCTATTTCTAGATGTTCAACTTCGTTGTGACGTTGGACGGTTCGGAGATTGTAAGAGCTCTGTACATTAGGGAGCTATCGACAAAGTTGTTCTGGGAGGAGCGGTGATGGAAGGCGGCATTGAGGTACCTGTCTGTGTGGGTCGGCTTGCGATGTACTTGATGACCCAGAGTACCATCCTCATTGCGACAAACCAAGATATCCAGAAATGAGAGGCATCCATTCTGCTCAATTTCCATGGTGAACTTGATGCTCGGGTGCTGAGCATTCAAGAACTCCAGGAATTGGTTTAGACCAGTCCTCCCATGTGGCCAGATGACAAAGGTATCGTCCACATACCTGAACCACACAGCAGGTTTCTGCGCTGCTGACTTCAAAGCTTCGCTCTCGAAGTGTTCCATGAATATATTTGCAATGATCGGGGAGATGGGAGAACCCATTGCTGCTCTCGATTTTTGCTCATAGAACTCTTCTTCGAACTGGAAGTATGTGGAGGTCAAGCAGTGCTCAATCAAGGCGAGGAATTGGGGAGAGATGTCGTTGGACTCCTTGATTATTGCCAAGGTTTCCAGGATTGGGACGTTGGTGAAGAGTGATTCTACATCAAAACTAACTAGGATGTCGTCTGGAGAAGTCATGAGATTCTTCAGTTTGTTGACGTAATCGAGCGAGTTCTGTATGTATGAACCATTCAGGCCTATCAACTTTTGGAGTGGTTTCGTCAGAAACTTGGCCAGCTGGTAAGTTGGCGCTCCAATGTTGCTGACGATGGGCCAGAGAGCAATAGACTCTTTATGGATTTTGGGAAGTGCATAGAGTCTAGGAGGGAAGGATTCTTTGGGAGTGAGGAATTTTGTCAGATCGGCTGAGAGTCCAGTCTTCTTCAGGAGATCAGTAGTTTGGCGCTCAATAGTCCGAGTAGGATCTTTCCTGAGCTTGGTGTAAATTCTGAAGTCACCCAACATCACACAGATCGTTCCGGAGTAGTCGTCCTTATCCATAACCACCGTATTATTTGCTTTGTCTGCCGGAAAAATAATGAGATTATTATTCTCCTTTAGACTACACAGTGCAAGATGTTCTTCCCTAGTAATATTATCAATAGGGGGAGTAGCCTTGTGGAAGACGTTGGACAACTGCCTCCGGATCTCATCACCGGTCTCCTGAGGAAAATGGTAGATCGCTATTTCGATCCGACTAATAATTTCTTCGGTAGGGATCTTTTTGTGGGCAACAGCGAAGTTGTGTCCTTTCGTTAATACAGACAGTTGTCCTTCACTGAGCTCCTATTTGCTCAGATTCTTCATATTGTGGGTGAGGGTCGGAACTTTCTCCTGGGGGAGCAGCTTCTTGAACTTACTCTTCTGATTCCCGGTCCTCATCTCGGCTGTTCAGACTGCTTGTTCATGTGTATCACGAGCAGCTGAGAATCCAACGTCTGAGCGAGAAGAATGTGAAGATCGAGAAGCTGTCTGGAGAGATTGGCCAGTTTTTTTTTTTGGTCGCTGCAATTCTCTCCTTGACAAGTCTCAATGAAGCCTGGCGGAGGATGACATTTGCCTGTCTCGAGGGAACAGGGTTCCTCAAGCGGAGCAATTTTGGTACCACTTGATATTCACGGCACCTTTTCAAAAAAGTGAGTGAGCACAGTTGGACGTGCAAAGACTTCCTAAGTTTGGTGAATAAATTCACCGACCCAAGAATAGCCTCGCAGTGGAAGGGCTTAATCTTAGTTTTAAGGCATTTGCGGTCATGATTAATGACATTATTGGCTCCCGGATGGATGCCGCGTTTGGTTTCAGCATTGCGCCGGTGTTTCGCAAATATTGCAGTCTGCATCTTCAGGGCTGTGAGCTCCGATTCTGAGCTCCGATGTCTGAGGGTAGTCCTTTTATGCCTTCCCTTGTGATGGTGGGGGTAGGGGAAGGGAGGGGCGGGTCAACCAATCATATGTTTTAATTGATCAGCTGATCAATTAAAATGTTTGCGAAACGTCGGCGCAATACTGAAACCAAACGCGGCACCCACCCGGAAGCCAATAATGTCATTGATCATGACCGCGAAAGCCTTAAAACTAAGATTCTCACTTCTATTGTCAATCAATTGGTTTTATAGTACAGGGGTGGCAGTTTAATTACGAAGTTAATGTCCAAGATGGCCTCCGATTTTCCAAAGAGGGGAAATGCGATTGGGGAAAAATCCGACCATTTCCATAGGGCACCTGGTTTTCCACCTTCGATTCTGGTTCTGTCCAATACAACGCATAGAGGATTATATTGATTTTTCTAATGGGCAAAACACAGGTGGCCACGTATCCTCTCGGTGACCAAATGTTGAGAAAAGAAGGGGTGGTCTTTTCTTTATTAGGCATATTGCTTCCTTTTTCGGTTTCCTTA